GCTAGTGGATGATGTGCCCTCAACGAGCTGTCCTAGGATTCGTCGATCGCGTTCAGGGCTGGACAGGTTTGGGAATGCGCTGTCCGCTAAATGTCGCAGCGTTCGAACGTAAGTGTGAATGTTTTCGTCAGCGAGTTGCCGGCGAGACGGAACTCCCGACGGTACTCGATTACTAGTTTGGGCGTGTCTAAGAGTTGTTGAAGCCTCTTGAAGGTGTCGTCCGTTATCTTATCATCTAGGATTCGAGATTCGGAGACAATATCGAATTCCTCGCCAGTGAGGAGGCTATACTTTCATATCGCCGTGTCTCTAACTGTCAGTGACCATGATCTCGGGGTCCCCAGCCACGGAGCCTAAGGGGACCTATGTGACCAGTTCACCATGTCACAGCTGAACGAAATGATTCAGGATATGCTAGAAAAGAAAGTCATTCGTCCATCTACCTCGCCCTGGTCGTCCTCTATGGTATTAGTAAAGAAGGTTGAGGTTGTTGACTATCAGAAGGTAAATGAAATAACCCGGAAAGACTCACTCCCTCTCCCGCGTATTGACACCACATTTGATACATTATTTGGTGCTAAATAGTACTCGTTCGCTCCCAGCCGTTGTGTGTTGGAGTCGTTGGTGATAACCGCATGTTGCGCAGGATCCGTGCCGTGAGTAACCGACTTCACCCGCTTCATTACAATTTTCAATGAGGTGGCAATCAAAAAGCTGCCGTCCATAAAAAATGAGAAGGGTTATGCGATGGTAGTGGCGGGATTCGAACACCCACCCGCTGAGGCGGTCAGTTGGTGAATTAAACTGCTTAACCACCGTTGTTGTTATTGATTTGTTTGCTGGCACTTTTGGTTCGTTTTTGTGCGGCTGTCCTTCATCATCCCGTGTTGTTCTTGAATTGCGACGAGTGAACTTATATGGGAGATGTTGCGCGCTGGGACGTACTTGAATCTGTCCTGTGATCAGAAGCTCCGCGGCTGTATGTTCAGACTCTTAAGGGGCTACCTGAATGTTTCTGTGTGCTCGGGGAAACTTAGACAGATTGAGTGTCACTCGTTTTTGTGAGCAAGAGAACGACGTGGAATCAAGCCGGTAGCGGTCACCTTGTTAAAGTCGTCCGTTTGGAGGACTTCGTGTGTGTGTATGCCTGTGGTAGTTAGATGATTCATTTATATCCCGTGGGATGTATTGAGCTTTCTCATTTGTACACGTGTACTCCAGCAGTTCATCAGTTCCAGTTTGATCTACCTTGGTCTATTTTTGTGCCACCCTCCGTTATTTTTTTGAACAATGCAAATCAGTCAAATCTAGTGTGTTCAGCATTCATCGTATTCCCGTTTTTTTCTTGCAGTGCCACATGATTCATCGGACACTGGTATCCGAATTCAAATGCGCCTTGGTTTGGGTAAGTCCATTCACTGTGTTATCAAATCATGCTAGCACCGTAACCGGGTCAGACTCGTGCTCAGTTTTTTTTCTGTACATGAACGGCTTAACGTTGCCCCTGTTTTGAGGCCATGAAAATCTTGTTGTTTTGGGCTTGATTTAAGATATACTTCCCGAATTGAGGATTTGATGAGGTTTCTAATCATCCTAGTCGAAGATTGGAGAAACAAGGCGAAACGGGCATTGTGTACACTGTGGTACTTGTGTTCCTGCTCTTATCTCATGAAATTAGCTCGAGTTTTGCAAACCAAGTTTGCTTGTTGCATCAGAACCAGAGCATTCCAGACCACAGTGCTATCTCGACATCCAGACAATGACTACTGAGATGGACCCGAATCGCATGCTAACCTTGATCTGCATCACCCAAGGAACATCTTACCCTTAACATTCGCCTTCCGTGTTTTCGAACGCTGGGTCAAGAAACTATTTTTCCTTTATCCATTCGGTTTTCAGACTATCGGCTTTATCCCTTTCACTTAAATTCATGTTTAGCACGTACTAGTAAAGCTCCTTGTTCAAGCTGGGACTAAGTTCTTCGAATTCAAACTTTCAAAAGCATTGCGATTTTGTCACCCATAGCGCTCCCTCAAGTAAGTATCAATCATATCAGCATTAGGAAAATTCGTTAAACATTACGCTCTCTAAACGCAAACAAACCACCCGGTTTAGGTGGTATTCCACCCATCGTCCTCAAAATTTGTGCTTCCGGGCTGGCTCCCGTTTTACGTCATCTTTTCAGTCTTTCCCTCCAACTTTCTTCCTTTCCAATCCCTTGGAAACACACCGTGATTTTTCCCCATTTCCAAACGCGGCGATCTTCTAACCCCAACAANACCACCAGTATGGCTTTCGACCGCGTCGTTCCACCGGTGACCTTCTAGCTCTCGTCTCATCATCCTGGTCAGCTCCACTCGATAACCACGGGGGAACACACTTGATCTCACTTGACATCTCAAAGGCCTTCGACCGAGTTTGGCACGAAGGTCTACTGGCAAAACTACCCATGTTCGGGTTCCCTCCAGCGCTCGTAGCGTGGATGTCAAGTTTCCTCAGTAAGCGAACCATCTCCGCCCGAGTTGATGGGATTCAGCTTTTACCTGCAACTTTTATCCCGTACACAGGCATCTAATAATCTTCATCAGATTTCAGTTCCCAGATGTCGTACTTCTGTGCTCCAATCTTCTTTTTTCCTCCGAACTGCCAAACTGTGGAACACCCTTCCCCTTGTTGTCTTTCCCCCAACTTACAATCTTACACTTTTTAAACGCAGAATCAATAACCTGGATCTTACGTGAATGTTCGCCTTTACCGTATGCTATTTGCCCATGGGGATTTCTCTGTTTACTGTAATTCACATTGTGTAATTTAAAAAAATCATAGATGTTAGAAGAATCTATCACACGTGTATATATATATATATGTGTGTGTTACAAATTCAGAAACATCATCCCGATCCCGAAAACAGTTTTTGGAATACATGCCCATTTCTCTCTCAAAATATAAGAAAACCCGTAGTTATAATCATTTTTACTGAATAACTAATTATACAGGGGGTGGTAAAGACTGCTATAGGATACAAAAGAAACTTTTTGCTTCACACACATCTGAGTCCAAGCTGTGTGCAAAACAAATCACAGTACGATAATCTTCATAAAAAGAAAGCACTTCCATGATTTGCTTGTGGGCGCCGTACTGCCAGGTTGCTCAAGCCAAGGCAGGTGAATTTTCTCAAGGGATTCACACCTGGAGCCTTCAGTTAGCCAAAGCCTGGCTCGCAAGGCAGCGAGGCGGTGTTCGAAAACCTCAGTCCATTGGGACTGGTGTCCAGTTCAACAGATCATAGTCCTTTTGAAAGGGTCAAATGTCCAATACACCTCGATACTTCATCGAGCTGGTGACCACTGTTACAACCAGGAAACTGCAGTTGAGTGTTGTTCGTACCCCTCTTCTTGGTTGGTTTCGAATCAAGGTTTGTAGCAAACTCCCCTAGGTGAACTACCAGTGGTTCACCGACCTGATTACAGCCCCGGATTTTGGCTTTATATCCACTCACTTTGATGGGGAAACACCACCGTCACGTGAAGGTCGTATAACAACATTTCGCGAAGTGCAAGGGAAGGGTGACCGATCAATCATTTTAACTGGACTAGGAGGGCGCATTCATGATCGACGCACAGACGTTCACGTGATCCAACTGCCTTCCGTATGCGCCACGCGCTGACTGAAGCCTACATTGAGCACGTCTGTGCGCTTATTGTGCCTTCGTATGAGCAAACGAAGAACAGTAACATAAGTCAGTCGAACGGATTAGTCATCCGGAAGTGAACCCAATCAACAAAGTTCGTTTTTAGTCCATTCTGTGTTTCACATGGCCGCAACCTGTCTATTAGGGATGCGCGGTGCATGCATTCAGTGTTTACACCTAACGCACGACCTTCTGTTTACTCCCACTACCACACTGGAACCAAATAATAGACTAGTCCCCGTCATTCGACCGATATCGATCATCCTACTACATTCATCTAGTCGCAATAGTGACACCTGTCTGGCATGACCAATTAGGCTGTGTTAAGTTTTCAAGTAAAGTGCATGTCTTTCTACTGCCTCTATTTATTAAACACAACTTTCAGGAAGTGGGCCGCAGCCATAGAAAAAATTCGCGAGTGAAAAATATCCATCGACTAGGCAGTTTCGACAAGTGATGTTTACGTAGTTTGACGCAGGTGTGATTGTGTGAATGGGAGATTGCACTCGAAGTAAACCATTGTGTGTTCAAAAATGCATCGGTGAAAAATTCATCACATCTGATTCCGATTGGTTCGGACACATTGCACATACCTATCGGTCGACCACCACATCGCGTCTTCTCGTTTGCAGCTAACGCACCGAGTTGGGGAAAATCACGAAGGGCCCGACAGTGCAATCAAGTGTCTCCCACTTGGGGGCCGAAATACTGTTTAGCTGGTTCGCCGGAGACCGTAAGGGACATGCCCGCGAACGAGCAGCCTTTGTTTCCTTGTCATGTTTCAACAGGCCAGACTGCTTGAAGAGATGTGATTGTTCTCAATTAGACTATGTACTCCGAGTGTTGATGATATGGGTTCACCTTACCTCAAAATAAGTCCACTTCCCATCCATCTTGTACGGTTTGAATTACAATGTTTGTATTGCGATTTAAGCAGCGGTCGGTGAAGTTCGCTTCACCGTATCTCGCTGTATGATGATGATGATGCTGANAGTATCGTACACGATCATTCAAACTGCATATTTTATGTTTCAGGGAACAAGTGTCAAATTCAGTCCGCAACACGTGGGTTTGAATCACACGGTCCACCATCACGATGTGATACAAATTATTAAAAAGTGATGGCTGGACGCGGAACAATGTCGTGCTCAGGCACAATCCCTGCCCCTTACTTTCGTAACCCTCCGAATGCAATCATTGTCGACCATATCAGATGTCGGAGTTGTTATTTTTCATGAACTGATCTGTCTTGCTCTGGTGACGAGTTATAATTGACGGAATGGAAACATCTTCTCTGAGATCTGATTGAAAGCGTTCTGTTTCTTCTGTGATCATTTGGTAAAACCTCCTGGAAGGGGTGGGGGTGAGGACAGTGCAAATCAATGTTAGACAGTTGCACCGATTGATGTCAGACCACTCTGCACCACCACCACTGCAATCGCTGTTTCACTAATTTCTGGGTAACACTATTCCAAGGAGGGGGCGAAATTTGAAATTGTTGCTTGGCATGACGGAAATGAAGGTTATGTGGGCGCAATACGACCCTGTGCTCAGCTACCTTTGTTCTGAACCGCGTCGTTTTTACATGCATCTTTTCCGTGAAGGGAGACAGATTGAACAAGAGGCGCATTTGCTTATGCGAATGATTTTTACACGACATACTTGGAGGGAAACCCAGGAGAAGCTGTCGTCGGAAGCAGTTGAGTAGACCTCACCACTCGCAACTCTGCAATCAAAACAAACGGAAAAATACCGTTGAAGGGATACGACTAAAGCAACGTGTATGCCACGGTATCCGTCCTTACTTTCGTAGACAGATTAACGACCACCGGGATAGTTAACCTTGCTCATTGCTTCACTGTTTGCGTGAAAAATCCACAACTATTTGCAGAAAGTGCCTTGATGTGGGCAAATCTAACCCCTCATTTGAGATAATCGCCCCACATACAGGAATTTTTCACGCAGTGTTGGAGTTGCATTCCCAATGTGAAAAAACGACCGGTACTAAGCATACCACAACGTAATATACTCCCATGAAACTTCATGCATCTGACTGATACGTACGTGACAATTAGCCGCCTATATTTAAATCAAGGAACACAGAATATTTCTATGAATTTGTAAGTTCGTGTGCACGTAGGCAGTGCACACCAGTTCCTAGAAAAGCGCATGTCCGTAATTTCGGACAATAAGTGATCAGTGCGCGATGAACCGGCTCTCACGGAGAGCATAGTGTGCAGTTGCTAACGTGCGCGTACCCACACGTGCTTGTTTTGGCGACTGTTTGAATAAGAGTGCTTGATGGGTTCGACCATTATTTGGAATTCATAATTGCACGTTTCTAACAGCGTCCGTTATCTGCTCTACACCAAAAACACCCGTTGGACCTCCATTCGAATATCACGGAAAACGATGCCAACCGTTCAGAGAGAGTAATCTGCGTTGCGACGGAAACGTTTTTCAAATACGCTTACCCAGTCAACAAACTACCAAAGGATAATGGTGAAATAATATTCCGCGAGCTTTCTCGGATGGTGCACCATGCCAGTTGTCAAAAAGCTATCCACAAGGACAAAGCATCTCACTAAAACGATCCAGTTGTCACACATTTAGGAGGGAGAGGAAGCAGTGGATTTGTGGCGAACAAGAGACAGAGAGAAGATGGAGAATTTATATAGACTGAGGTTGCAAGAATAATTATTAGATGCATGAGCCCCACTGTTTGCGACACCCAGCCATATCACTCAGTATCTCTAACCAACGGTTACCATGATCTCGGGGTCCACATTCAGGAAGCTTCGTGGTACCTATGTGACCCAGTGTCCTGGTTATGGTTTTTATACCCTCATGCCCGGTCTTGGTTTGACCGCCTTTGACCTTTTCCTATCCGCTACCTGTCTAGGCAAACATCGCGCGCAGCAGCAATCTATTTGGTGAGATGCGTAACACATTAATACCACGCCCAACCCAGCGGGACCTTATGTCGTTCGCCACTCCAAGTCCCGGGGCTTAGGTTACCGGCTTCCATCACTGAACAGCAGGTCCTAGCGACTATGGGGTATATCTCGTCTGCTGTTCTTCAACTAAGATGTGTAATAACAAAAACCTAGCGTAGTCTACAAAGATCGACCACTTGTTCCAGTGGGCTACCGCGATTAAACAAAACTATGGAACTAATCCCAGCTGTGTTCTAACACCAATAATGTATTTTCATCCTGTTTCCGGATGCGATAAGTTAAATGTAAAATGTTACAAACAATATTTGTTCATTGAAAGCACATATACCCCGATTTTTGTAACTCAATTGAAATCAAATTCCGTTTTCATGACGATCTGCAAACCTTTGCATATGAATCAGCCCTCACATTAGATAGAACAGCTGTCATCGAGTTCCTTTTTCTCCTAAACTGAAATAAACTTAAGCAGTGGATATAGACTGGCGCATTTGTAGATAAATTTACCCTGATGCGTTTAAAACAGATATGCCAAGCGGGGTACTTTTTTGGTTCAGTAATAGACTCCAGCAGATAACACAGCGACTCACTGCAAACTACATCCGTTCCCGTGAACCGAGGGGAACATCTGAGAGTTACCGGGCTCATCTGCTCTCGAGTCGTATACATCGGTTATTCCCAGTGGTTAAATCTGAAAAATTGAGTCCCATCAGCAAAAACGGTGACAAGTTATCGGGCGATGTTTCTACT